CAATATTTCTCATTTGAAATTGAAGTATGGTCATTAAGAAAGAATAAATGGCAATAAAATTAATTTGAGACAGATAAAATTAAGCGAATTTTAAAACTATATGTGATTCCAGAGAGTGTTTAATGCATAAAAAATGAATTGTAATTGGCAGAAATTTTTTAATGCTACTTTTTAACGAAAGTAGATTCGAATGCATATTAGAAAAATAAATATTTTCAAAAAATGTTTATTTAAAAACTATCAATAATTTCAGCAGAACTCTTACTATATGTAGAAAATTTACAAAAGAAAAATCTTTCAGTTGAAACACACATATTTCAAACAAAAAGTCAATTTTAGTCGATGAAAGATTTAAAAAAAAATAACTCTCATGTCCACAAATCTTACTCTTCCTAGGGAAAAAAAACGCGTTATTAAAATACGATTATGTGATTTTGCAGTAACATGTTTTTAAGTATTTTAAATGTACACCTAAACTTTACTTTTGAAAAGAGGGAAAACGTAATATGTACAAATGCGTATGAAGTTTTTTTTAATACATAATTTTAAAAATATCACTCTCTCTGATTTTATACATATAACCACGAATAAATATTAATCACATATTTATTTTTAAAAAACATACTGCGATCCATTTTTCCTATTCTCTATTTAGAAAGAATGAACTAAGTAAATACACGTTCCTTCCAAAATTATTTTTAATACGTTTAATTGAATATTACAGTTGAATGTCTTTAAATTTATGTCCTTACGTCTAAATGCAGATGTTTACTTATGCAGTAGATCTACTATTCAATTTTATACGAAAAAGCATTTTCAAATTTATAATACACTTAGTCATACAATACAGAGAAATAAGAATCTTATTCCTATCCTTTAGATCAGCGATACTCAACCTGTGGCCCATCGGGCCTTTATAAGTGACCCGGCCATGACCCATTTCTCTGAGAAATTGATTTACTTGAGAACAATGTATTAAAAATTTGTCGAAAAAGACGGTTTTGTAGTGAAAAACAAACATGGATCAGTAATTATTTGATTTGTTGCGTAAATGTTGTATTTAAAAAATACCAATAAAAACGAATCGTTCAATGACACTTTTCCTCGAAGATCTCTTTCAAGAGGCGACAAATAGGCTTTCTTGAATATTCTTTGCAACAGCAACAAAGTGTTTTGTCAGTAGTAATGTCACGGTGATAACAAAAGCATCATAAGAAATTTGTTATATTATTGGTAATCGTATGAAACCGTTTAATGAGATCCAGAAATTGTGGAGTGTTAAAAAAAACAAAATAGAGTTTTAATATTTTGATTAATTTTCCACATTTTAAATTTCCTATGTTATCTTAATTTTAAGCCATGTGGGGGGGGGGGGGGGGGGGGGGCGTCGGGGTGCGACCGGCATGAGATAGCTATCATATGTATGCGGCCTATCAGAAAAAAAAGGTTGAGTACCCCTACTTTAGATTGTTGCAAGTGAACAAAGAAATATATTTAACTATATTTATCCAAGAACGTTTCAATGCATGGGCCAACTAGGTCCGAGCCCAGAGCCTCGACCGAGAATTTTGAACAAAATGCCAATTGGCAACAGTGGCAAGACTGCTTTATTATATCCGTCGTCCTGTCGAGGCCCAGGCCTACCACAACAAACCATCATTTAAGCGAACTGCTGTAATCCGTCGAGTTGGTTAGTGAGATTCTGAGACACGCACATTTATTTGTCACGGGTTACTATTAGTACAAATATTTGACGGAGTGCTATAAATGATCCACTTAAAAAGAGCAGCAGGTGGGGCCCACTTTTGCATATGGGCCTTGGGTCCCAAGAAATCTTATGACGTCACTGTATATATCAATATCCACCAAATTCCACATTCGAATTAGAGAATGTTGTCAGCATTGTGTATGAAGATTTAGGAATCATTTAGCTTTGGCAGTTTATGAATCTAATTTTCATTATTAATTTTTATTTAAATAAAGGACTGTAGAGATGTTACACATTTAATTGGTTATTCATTTATCCCAAGTAGAGGAAATGATGAATGCAATACGAAATCAAATTTTGGTGTTAATTTTCTCACGAAAAATTAAAATAACATAGCGCAGTATTAAACACCAGTTTCATGGCACATCGTTGAAGTTTCTCGCATTACATCGATAAAAAATAAAAATTTATTCAAAGTTTACACATTTAAAAAAAAAGATACGTCCTTTTAAATAAACATTCAATTGGTAATTTATTTACCACGTACAACAGCTCATTGATGTACATGTTTGATGAAATACAGAAGGGTAATAGGAACTTAATTATGATAAACACTTATTTTCCTCTGAAATGATACAGCTGCTCTACCAACCATTTCGCTTGAAATCTAAGACAGTCCAAGGTCGTGGGAATTACACACAAATTTAACCCAATATCAAGTATCAAAAAGACTAAGCTGTCTGAAAAAAGTTGAGTCATGATTATCTACAGCGAAAAGCTGTATTAACTTATAATAGACATAAAATTAAAAATATGTATTTGAAGTTTACATAGAAATAGAAATTTGAAACTTAAAAACATTCAGTTGATTCTAAAAAAAACTTAATAGGTTGCGAAGAGTTTTTAAATTCTAAAAAGTTTATTTCGAATTAAGAAAAAATATGAGAAAATATGTTTTCTGCATAATTGCTCATTAGTTTTTTTTCATTTTCTCTCCTCTCAGATGATAAAAATATTTTTACGCAGACGATAAAAATCATGATAAAAATTCATTACACAATTGTCCTGAGTCGTAGTAAGCGTAACATAAATAAAATTACTTTCAAGAAAATAAATTAATACATTTATTTACTATCAAGAATTATTTTGCTAGTATTAAAAAACTAATTATCATTTTAGTCTGCAATAAAATTTATTTTTCGATTACTCATTCTCATCAAGATCCGGTATTTAAGAAATAAGATTATTTTTCGATTGGTAGAGAGAAGATAAAATTTTATTGAAGAGTTTCTAACATACTTTTTTGAAGTAGGTTAATTTTAATCTCGTCCAAATTAATATTTTACGACGAAATAGTCCATTACAAGTGTGAAATTTTGATATTTTTACGGTTGCGGATATATTTTTTGAAAAAAAGGTGGAAATTTTCGAATTGGTCGTAAAAGTAAACGGTCGTTTATCATCAAATTCTCTAGAAAAATCCATTAGCAAATGAAATGCAGGATATTTCGGTGAACTTTCCGCATTTGTTGATTGTTCGTTTATTCCCCTTTTAGGAAATCATAAAATTCTTCTAATGTGATACATATTGGAATTTCAAAAATTTTACTTCAAATTACTCTATTATGTTTTTAATATTTTTCAAAAAATGATCATCAAACCTGAACG